GCTGGAAGCAGAAACACACCATATGCATATGTTATTAATTTGAGTCTTGTTGGCAAAAATTTGCACTCCTAAAGGGTTCACTATGTTGAAATTAAGCTGGGGTACAAAGAAATTGCCATTTCCCTGCATATAAGACGTGCCTAATCTCCAGTGAGTAGTTAACATTTGGGGAACACAGGAAGAACTCTGGTGCTGGCAACGTCTGTCCGGTACACATGGTCACATCCAGCCCAGTTTGGTTACCTTCCACGGGCTTTTCTTGCGATTAAGTTGGAAGAAAAAATTATCCTTATGTGCCCTAGATAAGTCGATCTCTTTTCTTTAGCTAGCAGGGGAAGTGGAAGGCTCTCAGGCTTACAAAATTACTAAGATGGAAGCTTCAGAAATATCTTATTTCTGAGTTTTTTAGCCATTGATTTTTCCACGCTGCACTTCTCTTTATTATTTATACTGTTTTCATTGTTGCTACCATTCATAGACTGATGGATAGCCAGCAGTTTGGCTGCATTGTCCATCTGTTTGCACTTTTGCTTGGAGTCAAAAAGTTTTGAGTCCACAGCCTAGAACTTGCATAGTCAGTTCCTGTTTAAACTCTTCTTTAAGGAAATCGCGAAGGTGAGAGAATCATACGTAATTAAAGGAAATATATGTAAAATAACTTCTTCATATGTAACTATGTGTACACAGTTCAGTATTAGTATTTGTGATGAGACTTTTTATAAGGTCTTTGTTAAGATTTCACAGTCCCCTGTTAAAGACCCAGTTTGTTCTCTTTTCAACTTCTGTTGGCTTAAATGGTGCAACCCCTTTTCTAACACTGTCTTCTGTCAGTTACTTTAGTAAGAAGTGGACTGTCATTTTTCAAATTCTAGTGTAAATTTCAGGCCAGTTTTAAATAGTGGGAAAAATAATAATAAAGCATAACTCCTAATTAGCAGATTGATAAATATATTGTAGAAATTCCACATCTTTTCATACTACCACACAGGAATGGTCATTCCCAGTCTGCAGCAACTTGTGAAGCCTCAATACATGACATGCAGGATTTATTATTATAATATACTTGGTTTTATTCTGAAAAGAAGTTTGCATATACCTGCAGTTCAATTCCAAGGCTTTTGTGTTGGGTAATTTTGTTTGCGAGAATAGTTGTAGTCTAATATCCTTAATCCAAGTACAAGTTTTCCTTCTGAGCAGAGTCCTCAATAACAGAAGACCATACAAAACACAAGAACATGCTATCACTACGTCTGTATGCCTGTGGGAAGGAGGATCCCCACAAACAGAAGTTACATGTGGTTAGAAATCTCAATATAAGTACAACTCTATCTTTAGCATGTCACATGTGCTTGGGAGTCCACAAAACCACATACACTACAAAATCAAAGAGTTCTGTGAGAAGTCTAAAAAATGGGAAAAGAATATCCGTAGTTACCCTGCTGCAAAGATTTTCAGACTGTATATCCTTGCATGCACAGAGATTGCAACGTGAATATTTACTGGTGTTGTTTGTCTTTGGGTGCACAAAGGGAATCTTCTCCCTAGTGCTCCCTAGGTTTCAAACCAAAGATTTTTCCCTTGCCACTTAATGTGAGGACTGATCTGATGTTAACTTTTGAATCTCACAGGACACTGGGCCTTTCCCTCCCTTAAATTATTTTGTTATGATTTGCTTGAGGAGAGGGGGCAGGGAAATTGTGAAGGGACACATGCAGCTGTCTTCAAAAAGTTTCTTTTTCAGAGGGAGGAAAGATTAACTTGTTGTACTAGGAAAAATGGGATCTTCTCCTGTTCCGTAACATCAACAGTACAATCCTTTAGGTGTGCGTGGGGATATTATTTAGGAAGTCTGAAATTGCAAGTGTTACCTGTGAGCAAACTCTTCCTTAAGCTCTTGAAATACATTCCACATTTGCAGAATTACAGGGTGACAGTTCAGAAGGTTGTTATAGCTTTCTTATATTTTTAATTTTCTTTTTTTCTACATTTTTTTCTTAATTTTAATGGATGCACTTACTCTTGAACTAAAAAGCAGAGACATTTGGGTAGTGTGACTGAGGAATCCATACTGAGAAGAGTTACTATGGCAGGTTAGCAGGGGATGTTGTATATGTTTTGTTTTAAAAAATAGGAAGAAAAGAAAACCTGTTTGGGGACTCTAGTTTTCATGACTCGGTGTGCTGATCCAGCAGCTAGCGAGTCCATCGGGCAGTGTAGTACCTGCCTCCCTGGGGAGTCCATTTTTCTGGTCACTGCATCCCAGGTACTTACGAAGAGAAACCAGAAAATAATCACCTGAGTATGTACCAAGGAAGCGCTCAGCCCTCCAGAGCAGATGAACCTCACAGAGGTTGATTCTGCCTGGTGGCATTTGCGTCCAGCTGCTGAGACCACTGGGTCAGGTGGGGGATGTGCCCTTGTACAACGGGCTCACGGAGCTGCAGAGTCTGCCAGTGTTGAATTCTCTGGGAGTTTTTCCATCCTTCCTCCCTGCTGGCTGCTGAGGAGGACAGCCAAGCCCATTTCCGGGGAAATTCTGTTGAATTGAACCAGCCGCCCCCAGATTTATACCCAGTCAGTTTTTAAGTGTGGTTTCAAAGGAAAGAACCGTGGCAACAAAACTTCTAACATGCCCCCATTGTAACTCTGTTGTGCTAATGTAAAGATCTCACCAGTGTTAGCATTGGTGGGGGGACTTTTCCAGATGTGCCTTTTGAGAGGCCAAAATACGTTGATGTCTCTGGGGAGCACTCAGCTGCTAGATAGAGCCTGGTGTGTGATGGCAGGAGGTAGGGGCTGAGCCACCTCCATACCAGGGGTTTCTTGGCTATCACAAGACCGTTAGCATGAAACGTACAAGTTAGGTTTGGGGACTGGTAGCTTGTGTTACATACCAAACTGATTTTGAGCCTGAATTATCCAGAAAAAGAGTGAATGCTGCCTCTCAGATCTTGTCCTTAATTGTGCTTAATGCCAACACACAGGGTGAAATCTCCCCTGGGGTGACCTCTTCTCTTGAATTCTAAGACTAGCTCCTTGGGCTGTCTTATGCGGGTCTTCTCTGCAGAGGACAAAAATGCGATGCTAATTGAAGGCGTATTGCTGCCTCTTGACAAAAAGGAAAAGTCCTGATTTGGCAAAATCAGGAGACATTGTGGCAAAATGGAAAGTTGACAGTGTTTTGACAGGTGGGAATACAAATCCTGTATAAGATCCATGGGTGGAGAAGGCAGATGATCTATCTCAGTACTGAATTAACCGATGCTTTCCAAAGCACCTGAGGAGCATTCCAGCGTGTGGCTGTACAGAGCCACTGCTTGTTCGTTCTAACTTGCATGCAATTTAATTTGCCACAGGTGGGTGAAGGATGAGCTGTGCTCATGTACAGTCTTTGCTTTCTGGTTTTCCAGTCACAAAACTGGAATTCGCTGGACCGCTGGCAGCTTGTTTGTTGAATCATTCACTTCTGTGCAGACAGAGCTCAAACCTGTGGCCATTTTCCATGACAAAGAAGCCAAAGACTATTATTGTTAAATCCCTGTGCTCAGTCTTAGAGCCAGATTTCCTGTCGTTGTCTTATGAATACTGGGTGGTGTTTTTTTTTTTTTTCTTGAAGAGGAAAAGTATTATTACTGCTGTAGGGTATATTTCCACAACTTCTGGTATGCACGCGGTCCCACTGATTTAGAACAGAGGTAGAGCTACAGCATTGTATAAGCACGCAGAATTTTCTCACTGAGTATAGGAAAAATGGCCAAGCTTGGTCTTGTGGCTAAGCATGAGATTAGAAACGTGGGCATCTAAATTCTGTTTTCAGTTTTATTTCTCAGCAAGGTTGGCTAGGAAGTATTTCTAGCCATTAACTAGTGCTCTTCTAATTGCCAGTGGTTTTCACAGGCAGATCTAAGGACTGTTGAGTGTTGAATTCATGGTTCATCAGTTACGATGGGTCCCTGAATCTCCACGGTTCTGCCCTTGCAATCTTAGCAACAGCTAGTTTTACGCTGGTTTACTTGCTTGCCTTGTGAAGCTGTAGGCCTTAAGGCTGTAATCAAGAGACTATAATCCACCCTGTGGAAACGTCCAAAAAAAGAAAAGGAACAACAACAAAAAAAAAGGGTCATCTGTAAATAAGCAGCTCCTAAACTGCTCTGATGTACACGGATGCCTGCCACAGCTTCTGGTGAGTCTGTGCTTTGGGAGCTGCAAAACAGGGATGCAGCCACATTCCCATTTTCTCTCTGAAATTGCTGTAGGCTGTTGCCAAACGAAGCCTCTGCCTATGCCCTTTCAGAATGACGTGTGCGTGCTAAAGAAAGCATATTTAATGATTCAGTAGTTGGAAATTCCCCTTAAATATCCTCTAGGTTATATCTAACACTCAAAAGAAATCTGAATGTGTGTTGAATACTGATTATCCCTGATCTCTTATACAGTCCAGGATATACCATTTGGCTTTAAGAAATGAGCCATTTCTTAAAGAATTCTGGATGTCTGCCTGATCATCTGTGACCAGGCATATCCTTTAGTTTATTTTAGAATTATTTTTTTTGTCGTTCACTGCAGATTGTGTCAGTGGTAATTACGGTAGTCCAGTAGATGTACTAAAAAGAAAAAAAAATATTCTAGGCTGAGTTGTGATACCCTTTGTATGGTACTAGCTCACTTTGGGGAGAGAACGCAGGTTTCAGGACCAACGTTTCTTCTTAAGCTGGGGCAAAGCAAAGAGTGTAAGATACAGCGATAGGCTGCTATTTTACATTTATAAAGAGTGAAAATAGAAAATTGCCCCAGAATAAGGATTGCTAATGAGATATCTTCTTTCACACAGATCTGAAACAAGGGGGGAATGGAGTGCTGGAAGGCTAGGGGAAAACTCTGGGTATTTTTGGTTCCTTTCCGGGAGGACAAGGCAGCCTCACGAGAATGCTTAATATTATCTGTGTTATAAATGCTACCAAATATCACCAGCTGTTACAGATGGACATTGTTATTTGCAGGAATCTAAGCATCAAATGGGCATGAAGAGTGTGTTGGAGAAGTAGCCACCATTAACCCTTTTGAAGCACAGCAGTAGGACCACAGAAGGAAAGCTACACTGTTTTTTTTCCTGTGTTGAAGCTTCTCTTGGGATGAAATGGAGAATTTTAACCTCTGAGGTAGAAAATTTTGTATTTTCATGCCAATACAACAACTTGTGATAACTTTGATGTGTGAAGCTAGAAACTTTCTCTGTGAAATGTTTGCAATCACCGTCTTGTGATCTACTTGCTGTTCTGGGTACATTCTCAAAAAATAGTGTTGGCTGGACAGTAACTGCTTTCCTTACAAAAACTTGAATTTAGTTTTCATTTAGGTTTGGAGTAAAAGGAAATTACTTTTTTTTTTTTTCTTCATTAATTGGGAAAGAATGCAATAACTATGTCCCAGAAAAGCAAGCTGAGTCATGAGCAAAGCACTCACCGGAATAGAGAACGGGGTGAAAGAAGGGGGTCATGGTGCTGCTCAGGAATGGTTCTTGCCTGTGTCTCTTTCAGACCACCCCAACCTAAATTACCTTCCTGAGAACACCCGCATCAGAACTCTCCCTGAACTGAGTTTTGACAAAGCCTTTAATTTTTCAGTGGGGAAAATCTTTTGCTGAGACAGTTTCGACCACTTCTGAAGAAAGCAGTTGTCATTTTTACAGATACAAAAACTTAAGGGCAAAACAAATCTTAGGAGCTAAGCATCTGCTCGGAAAATCTACCGACAATGAAATAGTGATGAGTCAATGAATGAGCAGGGCTGTAAGGGCTCTAGTTCCTACAATCCATCCAAAAGCTGTCTCTAACATTGATATAGCTACACGTTTGAAAAATTGTGTGAGAATACAATATCTTTCTAGAGGCAGAAGGACTGCCAAGGAATAGCAGGTGTAACTGAAAATACAGACTTTGAAATAACAGAAGTGTTTTAATGAGAAAGGCTTCTAAAATGTGTTTTGTGTCTCTGCTGTATGGTTCCGAGTACGTTGAATCTGGTGATGTAAGCTGGATTTCTACCCCATATGAAGAATTTTGCTTGTATGTCTGCAGTTCAGGTCCTCTTCACTGTTATCTATCAAACTTAGGGTTAGCTTGTAGCTGAACTGAAGCTTATTGCTGTTTAAAAACAACCCAGCTTGGAAACAGAGCAATGGTTCAGCTCTTTTCAGCTCTCTCAGAGGGAAGTGGAGTATATACGGGGCGGAGAAAAAGCCAAATTTACCTTTCACTCCTCCTTTTACATCAGTGTATTACTGCAACCTTACTAACTGCTGGGCTACACAGAGAATTCAGTTCCATTTTTTCTGTGGGTTTGTTTTGGTTTTTTTAATATAATAGCTCTTTTTATATGTAATTTGGTTAGCTTAAAAAGCCTACTTGCAATCATGAAAAAATAACAGAAAGATAATGTGGTAATTGGTTTCTTAGGAAAAAGTACATGTAGTGAAAGTTTTCACGTGGGTATTTTGCCAGGAAGCGTGTGAGTGTAGGGTATAGACCTAAATACTCCTCTGTCTCATCTGTGCATTGGGGAGTTTTCATGAGGGTGGGGAGAAATGTCTGCGTATTTTCCTTCAGACCCAGTTTCAGGCCAAAGAATGGCTGAGACACAGTATGAATACGGCCCTTAGGGTTTTTTCTTTTTTTCCCCTCTTTTCACACAATGGAGTAGTCGCCCTACATTGTTGATGGCTTATGTGCTTATCAGGGGCAGGGCTGGGCAGATAAGACATGTTATGTCAAAGCTTGCTGTAAAAACTTTCATTTAAAATGCTGGTATGTTTTGAGGAGGTGCTGAAAACGTTATTGCGGAAATCTAGCTGGGGATGTTGGGCTTGATGCTAAAATAGGTCAGCTTCTCTTTCTGTTTAGTTTTTGAAGGCGAAAGGTGTAGTAAAGGGGGGGGG